AATATGAATAATTAATAGAATATCTTTTTTTGCAATAAGTTTTTAAAAAATATTTTTCTTATTTTCTTTAATAATTTAAACAGAGTATCTTATTTATTTAAATTAATGACTAAATTATTATTATCATTGTTAATAATTGTTTAAACTTATCGACGCCTCCCGTTCATATAATGCTTATTGAAAAACAAATGCAAGATCATTCTTATTCAGTTTTTAGTGCAAGACAATTCTTATTCGATTTTCCGTGCAATAAAATGAATATTTAAAATTCTATGCTAAAAAGTACAATCTGAAATTAGCTTACACTATGAGTTTTATAAAATTTTCAATTGAATATAATTTTTAATTACAATTGCTTAAACAATATTTCTTAATACGTAAGAGATAATCAAGTATTAAATTTTCTAATAACAATAGATACGCACTGAAATTCTCAGATATTTAATTGCAATTTAATATTAAAAAGATGATTTAGGGTTACATTTATTGTTCTGTCAGTGGCAATTGTTTTGCACACAATTTTGAATAAGCATTTTATTGCACGGAAAATCGAATAAGAATTGTCTTGCACTAAAAACTGATTAAGAATGATCTTGCATTTGTTTTTCAATAAGCATTATATGAACGGGAGGCGTCGTTATACTTTATGTAACAATATTCAGAATTATACAATATACACAGAACACTTAAAACTAAGAATGAAAAATTTCTCACACACGGGGGATCGAAACCTAGACCTAGAGGACACAAGTCGAATACGCATACCGCATAGCCACGCAAGCTTGGAAGTGATTTTACTTCAACTTCCTTTTGAATTGTGGGACCGTTATGTGCAGTGCTAAAATTATAAATTGAAATGTAACATACTTAATAAAAAAATAACTATATATGGGGCATTCCAGGCCAAATCGGAAATTATTTTGCTTTTGCATCTCAAATTTTTTTTAAACATTTTTTTTCTTTTAGTACTCTTTGAAATGAGCTACCTTGAATTTTTTCAAATTTTTTCATAAAGCGGTTCAGGAGATACAGATTTATGAAACATGACGTTTTTTACGTAAATTTTTTTTTAAATGCTTATAACTCGGTCAAAAATTGATCAAATTGGACATTTTTATAATGAAAAGTTTTGTTTTCACACGTAGTTTTAAATAAAAATATTTTTGAGATGCAAAAGCAAAATAATTTTCGATTTGGCCTGGAATATAATATAATAATAATAATAATAATAATAATAATAATATATATAATATAATAATATATATAATATAATAATAATATAATTAGGCTACAAATAATAACAAATTTTAATTAATTAGTTAATAATAATAATTTATTATTGTATTTTTATGATATACCTATTAATTAATAATTGATAATAAAATAATTAAATATTTGATGTTATTGTTGGTGAATAATGTTTTTAAAAATCTTGAAAATTTATGCAAGCTGACAGTGAAAAATTATTTAATTTTTCACGAATCATCGATACGAGTCTTTCTAAGTATCTAAATTCAAAAGATTTTTTGTAATTCATGCAAAAACGCGGCTGCACTCTACACTTGTAAAATACTTTTATAAAATTTAATAATAACATCTTTCCGTGTAGTGAAAATAAACACGAGTTTATAATGAAAAAACAGTTATATTAAATTTTTGTAACAGTGTTCTAGAACACTGTAGGAACAAGGTTACTTCAAAATTCTATAACTATTTAGAACAAATGTTACATGTCTGTTATAGAACAGATACAGAACAACTGTTCCAGAACAAATTTAGAACAAAGCTCTAGAACTGTTCTATAATAAAATTGTAACACTTATTCTAGAACACTGTTCTTTTTTTGGTCTAGAACAGTTATAGTACGTGCACACTGGGTTACCTCAACCTTGACATATAACCTTACCTCAACCTTGCCATATAACCTTACCTCAACCTTAACATGTAACGTTACCTCAACCTTGACGTGTAAGGTTATCTCAACCCTAACGTGTAAGGTTATCTCAACCTTAACGTGTAAGGTTACCATAGCCTTATCAAATATACTTACCACACCCTAACATGTAACCTTACCTCCATGGCGGAAGTTTTTAGTTCACCTTAGGTCTACCACAGCAATATCGTGTAACCTTATGAGCCTTACGATTAGTATTCAACATAACGTTACCTCATACTATTGTGCTATGTGGGAATTAGCTTAATCAAGAGAGTTTTTGACGTTAAAAATTTTTTTAACAAAATTTTTACCTCAAAAACTATTTATGTAAGTAGAAATAAATAAGAAAATGTCTTCCGAGCGAGCGTTAGCGAGCGAGGAGTATGACGCTAGTAATAATTATGAGAAGTGACAATTCGGTAAAGTTATAGTTAGAAGAAATAAAAGTTAGAAAATGTAGTAATTATAAAGAAGAATGATTAGGAGTAAAGAAAATTATGAGTAATGTTAATTTGAAAAAGTTAAAATTATTTTGAAAAACATTTATAAGAAAAAAGTTTTATAACAAATGATATTTCGATAAAATAAAATTTAGAGACGTTAGAATTTAGAACATTTACACATATTAAAAAAATATTATTAGAAACAATAAATTTTTTAAGAATTGGTAATTCGGTAATATTTGAATTATATTGAATAATAATTCTGGAATATAATTATTATAATTATTAACAAATCTACATAATAATATTTATCAAAATTGACATTTCGAAAATAAAAATATTAGTGTAAATAAGAAATATAAAAAATAATAATTTTTAGAAATGATAATTCAGTTATTTGAAGATTATAAAAAATTTTGTTTCGCAGTATTAAACATTCTGTTGATTAAAAAAATAAATAAAAAATAATAATTTTTAGAAATGATAATTCAGTTATTTGAAGATTATAAAAAATTTTGTTTCGCAGTATTAAACATTCTGTTGATTAGTCATTCAAAAAAATTATGTTTTTGACAATTATTCTTTCGATTAAAATAAATTATAATTAATTCTTATTAGATAAAAAGATTTTCGATAAAATAAAGATTCGGAAAATAAAAATTGGAGACTTTTCATACGCCTCGAATATTAAGGGTTTATTTTGGTCTGACATTTTGTTTTAGATGGTAAACTAATAATTTAGGGGGCGTCGCAAGAAATATAAACAACTTGGTAAATAACGGACACCTTAATATATATAGTATATATTAAATGTAAATAAAAGAAATAAAAAACATATTTTCAAGAAATAAATCCAATAAACTAGAATTAAAATTAACTTACGTAAGTGTCCAGTTTAATGGAAAATACGAATATAAAACTTTCCTCAATCGGCGAAACTCTATAAATTTTGAGCACTCCTCCCCCTCTCCTGCCATAATAGGAAGCAGATATTCTATAGCTGGTGCATGTCTGAGACTTTTAAGGAGTTTCAACGTCCCATTATAAAGTCTTCACCGAATATAATAACATCTGACTCCGTGGGTTGGAAGACATTAGGGAAATAGAACTCACCTCCCCCCAACCCTTCTCTCCCCCACCTTGTACCATTTCCCAATATATAAGGGAGCCTAATCGTCCAACTTGAAAGAAGCAACGGCTTTACTTTTGCGATTTCGATACATCGAACGTTATTGAACGTATCTTGAGGTGTATACAACCAAAAAAAAATTCAATTCGATTTGAAACGACGTCATTTTGAGGAATGGAAAGTGAAATAAAGTAAAGATTAATGTTTGCTTTTTATTTTCTTGGTATTAATAAAAGAATGATTCTGTATTTTTTCGTTTTTTTATTTTTCCTCAGTAATAATTGAGACTCTATTCTCTCGTAATATATTATTAGTGTGCTAATAATGATAGTATATACAGATGAAAAAACGATAAGAAAATTGTGTGTGTCCCTTACGTAATTTTTTAGGGAAAAAAGCAGTTAATCGCCTTTATACAATTTTTGTTGAATTTTTTGTACTTAATTATACAGAGCAGTAATATACAATCGTCGATTATGTTTTATTTCATATCCCCCCTCTCTCTCACTCTTTCTCTCTCGAAATATTTAGAAAAATGTTTCGTTTTATTTGCAGGAAAAAAAATGTTCCACTATTTTTTTAAATTTAAATATGTTTCAATAGAAAGATTAGAGCAAATAAAATATAATCATTTAGAACAAATAAACTTGAATGCTATTTAAAACTTTAAATGTAATGTAAAAATGTTTTATTGAATTTTTTTAATCCTAAAATATACGATTTTTATTCTTTTTTTAGGAAATTATGTAGTCGACGAGACATTTTTCTGTTGTGAATAAAAGATTTGTTTTTCTCATGCGTGTCAAAGGTTTCCACATTAAAAATTGTTTTTATTGTTACATTTTAAAAGCTTTAACATTCTTTTGGTATCGTTAGCTTTCTTTTTGGCTTTCGCAACAATAAAAAATCTGACTAAAACCCCTCGTGAATAAAAAAGTAAACAATATTTTTTATAGATTGCAAATCGTAAATTTATAAATTCTTAAAAGTTAGTAACATTCGTAAAAAAAAATTTCCAATTTAAAAGCAATTTCAAATTAATATATTTTTTTCGCTGAAAAATGAAAGAATTGAATAATTATTAATATACACATTTAAAATCACATTGATTCATTTATTTTTTTTATGAAGTATAAATATATTTTGTCGTGGGAATTCTAAAATTACACGAGGTTACAAACGAAAAACATTCGAGGGGTAAATAATCTATAATCTTTGGTGTTAGCTGTATGGAACTCAGTTCGCGCTTTTTTTCTGCTTACTAAACAAGAAAAAAAGAAGAAAAAAAATTTCATTTCATTCTGTATTTCTAAACATTATAACTCAGATTTTTTTCACTAACTAAACAATAATTTTCAAATAAAAGTCTCAAATATTTTTAAAATTGAATCAATTCAATTTCACCTTCATAACACATAAACATAAAAAGAGATAAAAATTATCATAATTTTCCTCAAAAAAATTAAAAAGTAGAAAAAAATGGAATAAACATTTTTTTAATGAAAAGAGAAATGAGATAAAAAAGTTTTTTTGTAAATCCATGTAAAAATTATTCAGAAAATATTAAAACATCACTTCCGTAAATTATTCCACATGGAATAGAAGGAAACATGATAGAAAATTTTTTGAGGAAAAATTTGTCTAGTGAGAATTAAAAATATTATAAACTTTTCTACATAATAAATGGCACATTTTAGAAATTTTCGCGCGATTCTTGAGGTAACGATGAAAAAAACAACAAACAATTAAAAATTCAAGAGCAAAAACTCATATTTCGCATACTCGATCATTTTCACTCTATCTTCCTCACGCATACAACAATCTAATACATCGTGTATTTACAAATTCTCGCACTCCGATTGTCCAACATTTACACCTTTTTTATTATCACTATAGAAATATCTTACACGACTTTTTAAAATCAAATAACGTTCCTTATATTTGAATTATATTCCAGCTGCATCGGATTATATCGTTATGTCCGTTTTAACACAAGTCCAATCACAGTTATATACTCAACTTGAATAACAAGTTTTTTTTTAATGCGATTTTATTTTTTATCACACCGTTCGATTTTCTGATTTTTGAATTCGTTAAAAATTATCGATATTTTACGTTGTTTTCTTTTTGGATCGAAGAAAATTACGATTCTTTTTTCTTTTTTGGTATTCGATTCAAAGTGAAGATTATTATAATCGATCATTGTAACGAATTCTAAGGTTTTTTTAAAAAAAAGCACTCCAATTTATTTCTGTGAAATTGAAAAAAGTTTTGGAAAAAATTTGGAGGATGATCACGATTTTGTTTTGCAGTTCATCAAGAATTTAAATTTAATTCTTGAATGAAGGACGAGAAACCACTTTTTTCTTAGTATCCGTCGAGGCATCGCAGCTTTTTTAAGGGAGGCTGCGCCTCGTCTCAGCTCGTCGGTGCCGACATCGACATTGGGGGTGGTTTTACTGTCCCCATTCCTGGGCCTGAGAGTCCATTATTATTCATGTCACCTGGCCCCCTGGGGCCCACTCCAATTGCTGTGCCATTCACCGTAGGCGTTCCACCTGACATTTGACCCTGTAAAACGAAAGAAACAATCCTCCTTTTAAAACAACATTTTTATTTGAATATTTCTTCAATTTTATATCAATCATTTTTGCACATTCAGAATAGTAAAAAAAATTTCAATTTTATTCGCATTTATATTTAATTTTAAAATCGTTTGAAATTTCCTTATGTTCTTATCCCGTGTGGAAATTGAATCTGGGCTCTAGCCGTGCCATGGCCGGGGAGCCCGACTTAAAGTTGGGCGCTAGTCGTGTTATGGGAAGGGATCATAGACGTAACCTGGGCACTTATCGGGCTTCTGGCTGGATCCCAGCCAGAATTGATACACCATTTTATTCGGTGGCTATTTGGGCGAAATCTAAGAACACTCTACTAGGGCCTGACTAATATTATAATGGTTTTTTGAAAATTATTTTTTTTAACTAATTCGTAATTAAACTTGTGTTTTATATGCAAAAACAAATTGAAATGTCAAATTGACATCCTGGAACAATAACTGCTCGCACTAGGTTTTAAAAAAGCAACCTCTTCAAAGAAGACTTGCTCAAATTTCAATTTTATTTTTAAAAGAAAAAGTAAGCTATTCAATGCACAGGAAATGTTTGGAAAATTTTTTGTTTTTATGTCTTTGGTTTCCTGAAAATTAAAAGGTTAAAATAATAATGTGAAATTATTCATCTTTTTTATAACTGTCATTTTTTAGGGTTAAAAAACTTTATCTTTTTTTTATAACCAATAAGATTAGAATTCGAAGCAGAAATAGAAGAATAATTTCAACTGTAAAAAAAGAATATATTCTGAAGAATTTTCAAACAAGATAATTTATCGAGGTAAAAATATAATTTACACATAAACTTTGTTTAAGTTTTTGTAACCTAAACAATTATTCTGTTAAACCTTTTGCATAATTGAATTTTACTTTGCTAAACTTTTACACATATTACTTTTTCTTTTAATATAAAATACACGTTTATAAACACAAACAGTATTAATTTTCTATATTTTATTGTTAATCAGCAGTGTAGTTTGACAGAAAATAATTAAATTTTGAAAAGTTCAAAAATTTTATATGATCTACATTTAAATAATTGAAATATAATTATAATTTAATTTAAATGTAATTTTCAATTTTTTTTATATTTTCTATATTTAAATGTTTTCTATTTTTATATATTTATTGTATGTTATTGTGTCAAATTTGATAACTGAAAATATTTGTTTGTTATTTTGAAGTCAAAATAAAAAAATTCCAGTTTTCAACTAAAGATGCAGATTCAGTGGCAGGTAAAAACTTTATTAATATAAAAAAAGAAATTCTGGATTAAGAAATATTACTTTTATGTCAAGATAATAACTTTAAATTTTTTAAGTTGAAATTAAACTGTCCAGAATTCAAGTATTTCCTAGTAAGGCTTTCAAAAAACTGAACCCGACTTGTCCCCTACCAGATATGATATTCCTTTTACGTGAAAAATTAGTCCATCTAGCCCCTGACCAGAAACCGACTTCTATTCGGGCGAACTTGGGCTTTTTCCACACGGGATTCTCATTATTATTGTCATTATTTAGGATTTAGAAGTACTAATTATACAAAAGGTCTTGTCTAGTTTTTATGATTGTCAATAAATAAATAAAATGAATTGTGAATATTATTACTTCTATTATTACTATTTTATTATTTTTGATTATATTTATAATATATTTATATATTATACATTATTATATTATTATTATTATTATTATTAAAACACTCTAAAACATCTATTAATTAAATAAATTTTATGAAATTTAAAGTTTTTTGAAAAATAATTGAATTAATTATTCAATATTTCACCCCGAAAAAAGCTTCTCTAGAATGACGAAAGTTTTAATTGAAACAACTAAAAATTTTAATCATAACATGAAATTTATAACTGTTTTTGGTTAAGGGGGATCTCCCTCATAAGAAGTGTGCAAATTATGTCAAAATTCAACATTTTTTTTCTCGCTTATTTTATTATAAAATTTAAAAACCTTTTTGCTTGATGAAAAGTATAATTTGAAGTATTAAAAACAATAAAAAAATTTTAAATTGTTACATTATGTTAGGCTGTAGAGGGCGTCAAAAACGATGCTTTTATTTTGAGGCGTTCTGCGGTTGCAGGTCTAGGGCCGTCCCCTGTGGTCTAAAACAAAAAACCAAAAAAACTTTTACAGTTGAGGTACTAATCTAGTGGTTATACCTAAAATTACCTTAAAAAATTAAAATTTAAAAAAATGGTACCACTTTTAACAAAAAAATTGAAATTTTCTTTTTTTGTTCCGACATTTTTTATTAAAAAAAAGTATTAAAAAATTTTTTTTGGTAATTTTTGAGGTTTAACTACTAGATTAGTACCTCAACTGTAAGAGTTCTTTTGGTCTTTTGTTTTAGACCACAGGGGACGGCCCTAGACCTGCAAGCGCAGAACGCCTCAAAATAAAAGCATCGTTTTTGACGCCCTCTACAGCCTAACATAATGTAACAATTAAAAATTTTTTATTGTTTTTAATACTTCAAATTATATTTCTCATCAAGCAAAAAGGCTTTTTAAATTTTATAATAAAATAATCGAGAAAAAAAATGTTGAATTTTGACATAATTTGCACACTTCTCATAAGGGATCCCCCTTTAAGTATTTTTCGGTGCATTAATTAATTCACTTGCCACACGCAGAAAAATAGTTGGATACAGTCTATACTATGTGTTGGATACCCCAGCTATTTTAGATAGTGTCTGGAGCGCGATCTATTTAGTTGGACAGGACAACCAATTTAATTGGATTCTTAGATGTTGGATGTACTATCCAATTCTGTTGGATAGGGGAGCCAATTTGTTTTGTGAACTGTCTATTTTTTCGTTATCACTACTTTTAAGTTGGATAATGCAATTATTTTCTAATAGTGAAATAACCATTTATATTTTACATATTTAATTAAATTTACACATGAATATTAATAAAATTATTTGTTTATTTAATTTTACTAATTTAATTCTTACTGAATGTTTTAGATATAATTAAGATTTAAATATCATTAGTTATCACTGAAAATTAATTCTCTTTATGATTTTTTTCTTTAAAATTAACAAACATAACCTAAAAAAATTTTCCGCGTTAGGTATTCCTCATCGTGGAGCGGTTGTTCCTCATCACAAATAAATCAATTTATCAAAATCATATTCTCTTTAAGAGATAATAGTGTTTCATAATCTATAAGATTCTCTGTAAAAGCAAAGACAGAATTTCACAAACTTTGATTTCAATTTTGCTACTTTATTACTTGACACTTTCACTTTCACTTAATCACTTTCGATTAACAATGTTATTAAATGTTCACAGTTTGTTGGCGCGATTATTTTCAAAAAATTTATCGTGTTTTCGTCCATTATAGTATTTTTGTCTTGACAGTTCACGTTCACGCACGAAATTGTCGGAATCGAGTCGCAACTTCTTGACAGCGCATGCGCATCATAGGAATCAGGACTTACAAATTTCAGTTGGCTGCCACATCCAACTCGTTGGAAACCGTATCCAACTAAATAGATATAATGACTAATCATAAGTACACCGAAAAAAATGCCTAGGACCCGTATACCAGGAATTGAAGGGATACATAAAATAAGGGGACGAACGCGTGGTTGAAAGGGATAATGTCAGTCAGGTATCAGCGAGCGGCTCAAGGCTTGTCACTGCTACCCGACTAGTAGTATCCCTTCCAAGCCTCGCGTTCGTCCCCTTATTTTATGTAGCCCTTCAATTGTAGTCAATTCCTAGTTACGAGAGGAACCAACTATAGAATCCTGGTCAAAGTAATAAGATTCAAGCATAGTTAAAGTGACCAGGAAAATTAGTCGATGTAATCAGGAAAAAATAGTCAAATTGACTAGGAGAATATTATTTTACAGCTCATTATAATTAGTTATTTTACTAATTGCTTTTTATTGCTTATATTCAAAAATGATTTTTTTGGAAACTTTGATACTCTAATTTTCCATTTTCGTAAAGAAAGTGTAAAAATGTTATTTTTTGTGGGAGAATTGGCTGTCGCAAAATTGCGTTTTTAGTGCTGGTGTAGTAACCTTTTAGTTTGTTTACATTTCACAACTTGGACATAGCCTTAATCAGAAGATGTTTTATACATTTCGAGTACACAATTTTATACACTTGTCAAAAACTATTTATTTTTAATTATTTATGACATTCAAATGAAAATAAATTTAAATACACAAATTATTGCAAAGGTAAATTTTCAAACACACTGCGCGATTAAAATAGTAAAAATGTTGTCACCACGTGCGTAAAAATTTCGACGATTTATATTGAAACCTAACCAAAAAAGTCTGAAAGAATTGACCGAATTGACTAATATAATTAAATAGTTTACTTTCTAAAACATGGACTATCTATATTTCCAGAGGTTCCGAGAAACCAGCAATTTTGATGTATATAAGAACTCCATTTTATGTACAAAAAATAGACGCGAGTAATGGTAAAAAATCGTTTTACGAAATCACGATAAATGACGCGAAAGATATAGAGGTAAACACTGTCAGAACAGAAGCAGACGCGTGCGCATTATGGAAATAGGCAAAATTACTAAAATCCTAGTCAATTTGACTAGGATTTGCAGGGTTGTTTTTGCCAGGCATGAATTTGTTGAATCAACCTAGCGATCCTAACCATAATGATTAGGAATCCTTATTACTTTTACTAGATTAAGATTAACTATAGAGTCATAGTTAATAATACCATCGAGATTTTTTTCGGTGTATAAATTTAAAATTGTCACTAGAACCAACGCCGTTTGTTCATATATGATTTTACATAGATATAACAGCTAATTTCCTTCTATCCAATAAAAATTGGATGTATTATCCAACCTTTTTTTTGCGTGCACAAGTAAGGGAAATCAGGGAAAGTCAGGAAGTTTTATTAAAACTACCTGCTGGAAAAATAATTAACTATTTCTAGAATTAATAGGCTTCCGTT